GGGAAGACGTATTTCGTATGGACTTTGCCAGGGCTGACGATGCGTGGAAGGTGTGCCTGCTACTACGCAAGCTGCGCACCAAAAAGCACGAGCGGTACACAGATATCATTCTGCCGAAAAATACTCGTGATTTCAGTTTCGGCGAAACCATCAAGCGCTTGTAGGATACTTTCGGCGAGAAGTCCTTCCTCTTCAATACTCCATACCATTGTCTCAACCTGGTGAAAAACGAGACGGACAATTTTCTGACGCTCGCCAGTACTGTCAACCGTAAGTGTGAAAGGTTCAAGCTCCGACAGTTTACCGATGACCAGTTAAAAATCATCATCTTTGTGAGCACTCTACAGTCACTTCAAGATGCTGAAATCAAGACCCGTCTACTCTCAAAAACTGAACAGGAGCCGAAGTCAACCCTACAGACATTGACTGCTGATTGTCAGTGGCTCAAGAATCTCCAGCATGATTCTGCCAGTGTGGAGCAACCCAGTTCCTCGTTTGCTACCACCAGAGTTCAAGCTGTGACCCGCACGAAGTCAGCGTCTCCACAGAAGCCCCAAGACCCCACACCCAGAAAGCCCCCATCAACATACTGGTTGTGTGGTGACTGGAATTTCGTCCGCTTCTGTCTATTCAAGAAGCACGTTTGTCAGAAATACAATCAAAGAGGGCATAAAGAAAACCACTGCCCGGCAACACAACCCCGCAAATCAAGGGCAGACAGGAAGAAGACGACGGGTCCCACCCACCCTCAAAATTATTCCGTTCTACAGTCTCACTCAATTCGAGCCCAGTTCAAGACTGAGTTTGAGGCACAGAGGAAGGATCTTATGGTTAGCATCAATGGCAAGCCTGTACTCCTCCAGCGTGACACAGCCTCACATATCACTCTTATCTCCATGCGCACCTGGCAGACGGCCTCCGTGATCACATCGGACAAAAAGGCAATGAATGTGTCCGGAAGATTTCTCCGACTCACGGGTGAGCTTGAATGTGACGTTTCTTTTGATGGCAGTCAATTCAAAGGAAAATACTACGTCACCAAGCGCCTGAACTTTAACCTACTTGGCCTCGACCAGATCGAGAAACTCGGTCTCCTGGACTTGCCACTCAACCGCATTTGCAATAGTGTGCAGTCGACTTGGCCAAGTCCTGCCAAATCAAATCAGCCGGCGGCAAAGCAGATGTCGACACTACAGGAGAAATTACTATCTGTTTCGCCTCAACCCTCAAGAGGATCGGGCTGGAAAAGAACGCATGCGGTTCCGTTTCAGTTGAACCAACGGCTCATATCTTACAATTCAACTCAAACGGAGAAGTGTTAGGGCCCGGCGTCAGTGCAAGTGCACACCGCCCTAACGAGGCGTTCCGTCGCGAGACCGCCGATACACCCACACAAAGTGCATTGTGTGACGCCGCGCCCAGCTCCAGCCAAGCGGAAGACTAACACGCCAACTGCACGACTCACACACCCATCTGTGGCGACCAACCCACTTCCAGCACTGCAAGGCATCCATGTAACGAATTGACTGAGTCTGATTGGTTAAATCCACCTTTTGCAGATATGTTCAATATGTGTTATCGAGCAGATCCTTCCAGCGTCTCTTCAAAGTAGCCTGGGTGTCGTAGTAGATGGTCTGCGCTAAATCAGATCCGCGTTCTTCTAGTAACTGCATAGTTATTTTACAGTCCAGCGGTCGTGTCAATGTCTGAAAATCATGATTCATCAAATACTATTCATTGTTGCCCTATATGGAAAGACCATCGCGTTTTTGCACTCTGGCTTCCACGGCATCTACGGCAATTACATGCATATGCATATGTATAGATCAATATAAATTAAGGACTTTTAACAAAAGCTGTATTTTCAGTATTAACACTCAAACTCAGAGGAAACATATTCCATCTAGATTTCTGCAGCCATTCGTTTTCACAGCGACTCATCGGTGCCCGGAACGGACTGCCCGACGAGGTCATAATGACGAACTCGACAGACGCATTTAAACGCAATCCTGATGTGTATTTACTTAAAAGATACCGTTCGTATGCACAGGAAAGCATTATTAGAACATATCAACACTTCGCTCACACATACAGATGAAAATGATATCTATTATTAAAATTTTTTATCTAGGGTCCTCAGGATGATTTTGCGTAAATTTCACTGTTAACAATGTATACATGTGTACATGTAAGTCACTATTTTATAGTAACATGGTTATTTTATGTTTTTATTTTGACTATATTTGCATACAGTTTTCAATGGGTTCTCAAAGGCATTACCTACTACCCTAAATATACTGAACTATACCGGTCTACTGGACTAACTCCTTGAAGCATCCTAGGAACCTATGCTGTTATAGTAACCAAAGAAATCCCCAACTGATTACATTTTTGTGGATCCGAAAGGGGGTACTAGAGACAGATGACCGAACGCAAGCATCAATCCTCTAAAGCTTCTTTCAGGTATATATATTCACCCCTGAAACCATTCCTCTTCCTTTTCTGCACCAGCAGAAACAATTTACTTTTTAACCGTTCGCAGTAGGAGATGACCTTGACATCCCACCCACATCGATAAGAACAGAATTACTCCGACTGAAGCCTGTCAAGTCAATCGACCCATATAATATTCATCTTATCCCTCGAGAATTATCTGAACAGATATAGATTTTATTCCAAAATTCAATGCAAGAAGACGAACTGCTGCAAGGATGAAAAACTGTTCTTATCCGATCTAAAGGAGAGGATGCAGACTGGAATCAGAACACTACCACCCAGTTATTTTAACCGGCATTTTGTGCAAGGTCATGAAACAACTTATTGAGGAACAGTTAATGGCGTAAGTGAAGTAAAGGAAAATATTATTTTCTGCCCAGCATGGTTTTCGCTGCGGTCACTCATGTCTTACGGGTGGTCCTTACTCGCAAGTAAAATGAACAAAAGCCACAGACCAAGACCATTCAGTTGATGTCATTTTCCGACTTCAAGAAGACATGTGACAGCATACCACATATATAG